TTAAATTTGAGAGAAAAGCGGGCGGTGCTCTCTCCGTCTAACTGCGCCCCACTTCGTACACGCTGCTACTCCCACCCTGACTACGCTGGGCTCCACGCAATTGGGGTATTGTATTTCTAATAATGGGTCTAATAGGGTTCTATGGCCCCGGCTCCCGAGGGTCCGACTTTGCCCATGCCTGCCATAGCCCACCGCTGAGTCGCATAGAAAGTCAGGCAGCGCCTCCCAATACCAGTCATCGGACTAAAATGTTATCAACTGCGCATGCGTGGCACAGTTGTCTGCGCGAGCACTTACTCATAATTACCGAGAGTAATTGGAAACTTTCCCGATTCTTTTCCCAGATAGATTATGCGAAAAATGCGTCTGCATGTGTTTAAGGGGGCTTTTATGGGCACAATTAATAACATATACATTGAATGTATTCATATGTATACATATATATATTGTATAAATTGGAGAAATCTTCGCCAACTTTTCATCCTTCGGAAATCTAAGTTGGAAAGAAAATTAAAAACATTATTAAAATTTTATATTATGAGGTTGCATACCAAAGAATAAACGTGATTGACAATTATCTGACGTGCATATAAATCGAATATTATCATGTACTTACTGATGAAACGTTAACTCCTTATTTTTCTCCTTCATTTTTCTGCAATAGCAGCACCGCATTTTTTCCGAGGGAAAAAGTACACTCTTCGATCACAGGGGAATTTTTTGAAATACAACTGGCGCGCCGCTAAGACTAGACAGTTATGACTCGGGAAATATTTCCGGAGCATATTACCAACTACGTCATCCTTCTTAGTGGTGCGCATGCGTATTTACGTCGTTCGTAGTACCTTGACTGGTATGCAGCGGCGCTGGCTGATACTTTAATTTACTTCACTTTGAGTATAGTGGGGGGACAGGGATACTCTATCCAGATATATAGAGATCAGTGCCCCTAACAGTCTGAATGCAAACTTGTTGGGCCGATGAGAATAAGCAAGATGGTCAATCAAAAAAACATCTTCTCTGCATAGAGTTTCTTCTAGATGTGTTTTAGTCTCCCTCTGTCGCAGAGGTGAGCAACCTCAGCTCTTGGAGCTACTCCAGGTCCTGACCTCCATTAAACAAAATTGTCCCATGTCATAAAGTTTATGCCTGCACCCCTTTGGGCCCATGATGCGCGTAGGCAA